TCCACCCCACTCTGCACAAAAATACATGTGAACTTTTGCTCATGTACAAGCAATTCAATGATCATCTGAATCTGAGTCTGTATGTAAGTAGACAGGCAAGATTTATTTTTCTTTTTTTTTTTTCAGCACTTTGGATTGAACCCAGGGCCTCACATGGTACGCAAGTGCTCTATCATGGAACTATATCCCTTGTCCTATAAGTATGGTTTTATGTGTGCATTTAGTCACCTGTCCAATATGCAGGTTACATTTATATATGTATATCCAAACATACACAGGGGCTGGAGGTGTGTATGCTAGGGTTCAATTCCCAACACACACACACACACACACAAAGAATATTCTGCACACACACATACACAACTAGCCACACAAACACAGTCATATACAAGTTTGCAAACATACTTACATGCTACACACACATGAATACTCTCCCATATATTTGTATACATGCACAAACATTCAGCCACAGGTATAATTATATACATGGAGTCCAGACACACATGTACACATCACTCATGTGTACACACGTTGATAAGTGAGCTACCAAGTGGCCACAGGCTATGCAGAAGCCCCTTTAGTCAGAAGTCCCCTCAGTCTGCTAATGGGGGGTCCTACTTGCTAAGTGGCAGAACCCACTGGGGTTCCAAATTACTTTTTCCCAGCCTCTGTGCTAACTGTCTAAGCCTCAGACCTTCTCTGGGCTCTCTCCAAGACTTTGGGCAGCCATAGGGATCCTATTAGGACTCATAGACCAAAGAGCAGAGCCTATGGTTTTAGCCCTTGGAACTCAAGACTCCTTGGCTCTGGGCCCAAGCCCACAAGGTGCTCTGCTTTCTGGTGTATTGGAAAAAAGAAGTTTTCTGTTTCTTCATCTGCTTTCAGCTTGCTGTGTGACTTAGGGTAAATTATTGTGCCTCTCTGTGCTTCATTTACTTATCTTTAAAATAAGGCATAAAAGATTGTGTTGGTAATCCTTCCAAAACTGTCCTAAGCAATCCACTGAGTCACACTTACAGATGTACTCTGCCCAGACACACATCTGGGAGCAGTGTCAGCACCCAAGATGGTGAAGGCCAGAGTGAAGGGGCCACATCCATCATCAAGACTAACTCTTTGCTGAATAGGTGAGGAAGTTAAGGTCCAGGAAGGTCACAGCCAGCTGGGAGCTAGAAAAACTGGCCTCTGATTGGTTGGCTGGCAGGTCCTCTCCTCTGTAGCATATATGAGAACATGTGCACATGTGTGCTTAGTTTCTCAGGGCAGGGCAGGGTGGTGGTCTGCTGACATGGGAGGTTGTTTATGCAGACCCCTTGCTCAAATCTTACCTGCCCTTCTGTGACGACAAGACACAAATCACAAGACAAATTCTACCTTGAAAGATTCCTTTGGATGTTAAAGGCTATTTTTGTCCTTAAGCTTCAAGAATCCCCTCTAGACCCACTTCCCCTGGAACTAAGGGTGAGTTATCTGAAACTGCTCTTGCCCCATGATCTAAGGAGCTGGCTGCCAACCACTCAGAGCAGAACTTCAGGAAATGGTGCCAGGTTGCCCTGGCCACTAGGCGGCCAGGAGGGGGCAGTGAGCAACTGGCAGAGGAGCGAATAGGGAGGGGTGGCTTGGAAGGACTTTGTGTGAGGTTGGCCTGCAATTATGAACGTTCCTGTAACAGTTGACTGATTTGTATCCTTGTTTGCACAGGGTAGAGGTCTGCACACAATGTCCCTAGGCCTGGATTGTGTGCCACTCATACATGTGCCTCTGAATGTGCAAAAAATGTGCGTGTGCATTTGTGTACTGGGCAGTATGTCTGTGTGAAGCCCAGCCCAAATCTAGGGTGCCAAGATGCCAGCCAGGTGTTGGGAGGCAGCATCTCAGGCAGATGAGGGCACAGCTACTTATCCTCAAAAGTCTAGGATAGCTGGGCCCTCAGTCGAACTTGCTTAGTTTTTAAGAGCAAAAATAAACCCTCCCTTGTTATTTCACCTTTAAAACTTGTCACCAGAGTGTGTGGCAGGTAACTGAAACTATACTCTTAGCCCACTAAAGACTGTGATACTAGGATGTAGAAATTGCACAGTGAATGGGGCATGGGCTGTCCCTGGCCAGCTGCATGACCTTAGGTAAATTACTGCCTCCGTGAACCTGTTTTACTCCTGTATAAAACAGGAGACCCCTGCTTCTAAAGATTGAAATTAAGCATATGCAGTCTTTGGCAGGTAGTGGGTGCTCAATAAGAGCTCATTCTTCTCAGGATTATCCCAAAGGTGAAGCGACTTGCACAGGGTCACAGCTCCCAAGTGGCAGAGCCAGAATTCAAGCTCAGGCCTCTTCTTCCCAGAACCACATTCCTTCCCTCAAATTCCCTAGCAAGGGCGGCTCCCAACACCACCATTTTGTCTTCTGCCAGGGCCGGCTTCTGGCTGCCTGTCAGTCACTGGCCTCGGGCAGCCAAGTGCTGACTAAACACAGGCCTGAGCAGGAGGGTGGAGCGGAGGGGCTCTGCAGGGCGAGCCTGCTATATGCCCCCTCCCCTGCATCCCCACCTCCAGCGATGAGCTCAGAGCGGCTGGTGCAGCAGTTGCTGACAATTCAAAACTTCTGCCCCTCTCCTGGGACATCAGTGGGTGACTCTGTCCCTCTAGCAGCAGGCATGACCTGCAGTCGCCAACTCTGCTCCCTCCCCTCTCCGGGGGGCCACCCCACTGTGTCTGCTGGGCCGGGAACTGGGTGTCTGATCATAAATTACCCCCAGGGACAGTTACCCGCAGCAGCTGTGCTCTGAACAACCGTTGCTTCCTGGGTAGGTCATTTTTTTGGGGTCAGAATACAAACCCAGCCCCCTTTTCTTCCCTAGGCAGGAGAGGGGGTGTGGAACAGCCTAAACCTTTTATCGGATTCCATTGTAAATCGTTCTATTTAAGGTAAGTTGCATGGGTCTGAGAGGCAGACAAGATGCCGGCCAGATGTTGGGAGGCAGCATCAACATTCAGCCTGTGCTCCTCTCCTGCCTGGTGGAAGGAGCTGTCAGCAGCCAGTATCTGGCACACACACCCTCCTCATGGGGAAAGAGGCCTGGGGGTCTGCACCTCTGGTCCCCCAACTTGGGTCTTTGCCCAGAAGCCTCCTGCCCTTTGAGCCCACCCAGGCTGAACCCCTCTGAGCTGTCACAGCCCGTGGCTATCAGTATTGCCCCTTCTGATCTCTTCTCCCATCACACACATACACCCACACACACACTCACACACACCCTCAGAGGTGGCTGAGTGACTACAAAGACTATCAAATTATTGAAAATATTGGTATTTAAGTATTCATGTGTATACATAATAGTTACATGGAATCTTCAAATCACTGGGATACAGGTATATATATACACATGAGCCTGGCAGGAAAGCAAATGAGACCAGGCTTGGAGCTGCAGGGATTCAAACAATTGGACATCCTTCTAGGGTCTTAGAAAAACAGGGCAGAGGAGGAAAGGGTAACTGTGGGGATTTGACTTAACCCCACCGCTTGGATTTCCAACCGAAGAGCCCCTTCCCTATTCTCAGGGGAAAGGGCCTTTTTGCAGAAGGCATCCCCACTATACTTGCTCATGCCCTAAAATCTCCATGTGGCAAACATACCCAAGAACCCATTGGAATATGTCCTTATAAATATATTTATATCAGAGAAAACAAGGCACTTTGGGAGCATTACAGCTTACTCTCCTACATGTACATCATTCTAGACAGAAAGTAAAAATTGGTTAGTTTCTCAAGTGAATTAACTGAATGAAGTTAATACAGTAACAGAAGGCACAGAGAGGCACTTTTCGGTGGGACACCTGGTCCCAGATCAGCTGTACCCTGGCCAGCTGCACCCTGGCAGAGCTCAAAGCTTGCTGCCCCCCAGGAAGGCTGACATCTCTCCTGAGCAGAAGCACCTGGGCGTGGTGCACTGCCTCCCTTCCCAGGCCCTGAGGTCAGGTGAGGGGTTGCAGAGGGAGGCAGTCCTAGAGCAGAGCAGGGACACGGTGGGAATGCATAAGCAGGGTCACCAAAGCCACAGAGACCTCAATCTGTCCAAGCTGGCGCTGCAGAGTCGGAGGATCGGCGCCACGGGAAGAGATTTCACATTAGCCCTGACAACACCGCCTCGGCTCTGCGGTGACATTGGTCAGGGTCGTTTCTGAGGGCGCCCAAGCTTCCATTGGAGGCAAGCTGGAGCTTGGGCCAGCTGCTCTGAGCCTCCAAGGGATCAACCCCCCCCCCCCTGCTCCTTTGGAATGAAATCATCTCACGACCAAGGCAAAGCCACAAGTCACTTCTGACACTGCCGATTGGAAGCTGGGCCCCTGGGCCACAGGAATGGGGGCAGGTCCCCTGGGCTGGGCAGACCAGGAAGGAAGGTGGCTCCTTGGCTTTGGTACTTAAGAGCCCTCACAGGCCATTGTTCATACTCTTACCAGCCTCAGCTGTTTGGTTTAAATAATCACTAAACTTTGTATCCTACAATTATAGAATTCCAAAGACATATCTACCTGCATTGGATCCTTTATCATTTTAAAGGACTTTGGGTTTCAAGAAGCACTTTTTTTTTTTTTTT